TGACCTCCTGGAAGAAGAGGAAGCCCCAAGGACTGACTGTGTCCAAGCTGGCTTAACTTGGGAGGCTGCCAAAGAACTGAAGCAGAGAAGTTCCAGGTTAGAAGGGCAGGCGGCAAAGTGGCAGGGAGGTGGGGTGGCTGAAGGACGAGCGAAACAGCAGTTAGGGGAAGGTTTGTCAGCAAAAGGAAAACTGGAAACAGTGTAGATTACCATCTTGTTGGGCGCTGTTCTCTCTGGAGGACTGGAACCCTGAAAAAGAAGAAACTTGGGGGTGCATGCGTGCTCAGGGAATCTTAGAACTTCAAAGTGGAAGGGGTCTTGTTTCTCAACCTTGAATATCAGAATGAGTTTTAAAAATACCGGTGCCTGGAGGCATGCAGGTGGCGTGGAGGTTAACGTGCTGGATCCCACATGGTCCACGCATCTTCCTTCCATGTGTGCACGCCTGCCCAAAATCTCAAGAGGAGACTGGAGGAGAAGGGATTGCAGCAAGGCCATCCCGAGGGGGTTGATTTCTTACTTTCTCTCTCTCTCTCTGGCAAATGCATATGCCCTATAGCACAAATAATACAACTGATGCCTGGGTCATATTCCAGGTCAGTTATTCCCTGTGGGCGGGACCTCCACATCAGTAGTTTTATTTATTTTTCCTAATTGCTGGAGAATGTGTGGGCTCACTAGAGAGAGACGGGGGTGGGGGGGTGAGAGGGGAGAGAGAAAGGACCCTCCAATGGGGTGTGGTCATGCTGCAATCCCTTTGCTTGTTTTTCCCTCCTTTCAGGATTTTGGGTATGCGCACACTCGTGCCTGGCATGTTTCTCAAGGTGCCAGGGCTGGTATTTAAAATGCAGTTTGCTGGGGCCAGCAGATGGCATAGCAGTTATGTTGCTAGATTTCCACATGGCCAACCACGGTTTGAGTCTCAGACTCGGTGGCTTAAAAATCATGCCAGGCACTTGTGTGTGTCCAAATCCGGGAGAATGGAGAAGGTGGCATTGCAGCATGGCCATTCCCCCAGGCAGTAATTTCTCACTTTGCCTTTCACTCTCTCTGTCTCTCTCTGGGCAAGCACACATGCCCTAAGGCAAAAACTTTTCAACACACACACACACACACACACACACACACACACACAATTGGCCATATGGTATCCAGTTCCTTTAACCACTAGGCAATGGGGCTAGCCCAACCCATATCAGTTTGTTTTTTGTTTTTTGTGTTTTTTTGAAAGGTTTTTGCTATAGGGTGCATGCACTTGCCAGCAAGACAGAGACAGACAGAAAGCAAGAAATCACCCCCAGGGGGGATGGGCACACCACAATCCCTTTCCCTCCATTCTCCTCTCAGGATCTTGGGCACGCATGCACACGCACCCGGCGTGAGTTTAAGGCACTGGATCTGGGACTTGAACCGTGGTCAACTACATGGGAGTCCAGTGACATAGCCTTTACACCATCTGCTGGTCCCACCACGTCAATATTTTTTAAAAGTTGACCAGATGACTTTAATGGGCAGCTGAGGGAGAGAACCACTGAAGTCCAATCCTCCTTAGAACAGGAAGATCTCTTGTATGGCATCTTTATTTTTTTGGTAATTTTGTTTTTCCTAGGGAGATTTTTGCTATAGGGCATGTATACGCGCCAGAGAGACAGAAAGCAAGAAATTACCTCCTAGAGGGGATGGCCATGCCCAACCCCTTCTTCTCCATTTTCCTCTTGGGATCTTGGCCATGCATGCACATGTGCCTGGCATGAGTTTTAAGCTGCCAGGTCCAGGATGCAAAATGCTGTCGACTATGTTGGAGTCCAGCGACCTAACCATTATAACATCTGCTGGTCCCAATCTTGAGTGGAACCAGGATTTGACCTCAGTTCTACTTCACTTTAAAGCTTTTTTTTTTTTTTTAAAGAATATTTTATTTATGGGGCCAGCAGGTGATGTGGTGGTTAAAAATGCTAGACTCCCATCTGGCCAACCGTGGTTCAACTCCCTGGTTGCTTGTTCTCTGTCTCTGTCTCTCTCTCGCTGGTCACAATTGAAAAATAATAATTCTTTTTGAAAAAGAATTATTTTATTTTACTTTATTTATTTTAATTTGACCAGAGAGGGATAGAGTGAGAAAGGGAGAAGGGTGGAGAAAGAGAGAGAGGGAGGGAAAGTGAGAAAGCAAGCCGCCAGATCTGGGACTTGAACTAGGGTTTTTTTTAAGCTTCCAATGATGATAATTTGCATACCAGAGGCTCTCACCTAAGCATGGATTCTATACACTAAGTTTCAGAGAGCTTGCCCCTGGGCTTCAGGAGACCTACACTAACTCAACCCCCCCCCATACCACTTCCCCTGTAATAAAGGGAGTATCTTACTATCCCCCTTCCCACGATTTGTTCCAAAATATCGTGGAAGTCTGCCTCTAAGAGGTGCAAGAAGTTGGGACAAATATCCTGTTTTGTTTTGTTCTCTTTTCTTTCGTTCTTTGTCCAGATTTCTCTCGTTTTAAAGCAAGTATTAAGGCCAGTTGTGAAGGGGGGAAGTTGCAGAAGTTGACTATCTGGAGTCCTGTAAGAGAGGGTGGGCTGGATGGGCGGAAGCAAGTGGAGCTGTGCTTGGTGATGGCCATGGAAGTGTCACTATATGGGCTACGGTTACGGTCTAGATCCCAGTCTGTGTTAGCACCAGCTGGTGAAGCCGCTGCCTTCGCTTTTGCAGCAACCTCCCTGCACCGTTGTCCAGCTGCCAGTCCAGCCCGTTGTTTCCCTGAGATCACCCAGATCTGCCAGCCCTGCTCCATCAGCACAGAGACTCTAATTTAGAGTGTCACCATCATGTAACAAGTCCAGACTGGGGAGGTGACCCTGCCAAGGTCACATGGTGGACACACTGTGGCTCTTTCCACAACTTCAGTCTCTCACCTATTTAGGTTGGGCTTACTCAATGGCAAACACTTGGAATTCTGGGCCTGGCTTGAGGCCTCAGAGTGGCCACAGTCTCTCTCTCTCTCTCAACCTAGGGTATACTAGAGGCCTGACAAAGGACACAGCAGGATGGTTGCTGAGGTCACCGCAGGCCTGCAACGTGGGTGAGCCATCCTGGCTGTTATTCATGACTTCAGTCAGTTTCAAGCTGGCAGAGTCCTTTTCAAAGAGTCCTAAGAGGGGAGTGTCCCTTTATTGCCAAGACTCCTCTGTTCTTCCTCTGACAAGTGACTGGCCTCACTCCCAGCTGCCGACCTTGCCCATCCCCATTCTGGTGACTGGCTGGGACCATTAGAGGGAGACGGTGCATTCCAGTCATGTGCCCACAGCAGCTGTTGCCTTTCCTTAGTGAGACCCTTCCCAGTTCTGAAGTTGAAGGGTCAGGAATGGGGAACACAGGCAGAACTCTCAGTTCCCAAGAGATAGGCCCTCTGTGCCCCGGAGAGATCCCTTGCCCTTCCATAAAGCTGCCATCTTCGTGGCTGTGCTTATGACTCTCAGGTCTTGGTTGTGTTGTGATAAGGAGGCATAGGTTTTCTTTCTTGCAAAGTTACTGTAGAGATCTACCTGTCTAGACCTCAGGCCTTTGCTGTGACGATTTTTATCTAAAGACTTGTGCAGTTAATGAACTCATTACTGTTACTTGTAAATAGGTTTTATTTTTTATGTGCTACTGCTACTTGGCTAAAGAATTGAGGGATTATTTAATTTTTTGTGCTTTGAAGGTCGGAAGTCAAACTTACTACAATGTCTCATTTGTGGAATGCTAGCTTTGAATTGTTAAGAGAGCTGCAGGTCTGGTCACTCTCAGGTTTATTTTTTATAGCAATCAAGTCTAAAATTTTACTCTCCTTCTCCCTCCCTTTCCTCATATTAAGGCAACTAATGGATTGTGGGTGAAAGATCAAACCATCAGAGAGTGAAATCCAACATCCAGTTTCACTTTGTAGAACAATGTAGCTAAATAATATTTAAGGGGATGCTATGGTAATATATAAATAATTTCCATCTTTAAGTGATTTTTCAGGCATACATGTTATATAATAAAGTAAGAACTTGACTTTAAAAATAAATCTTTCAACATGCAAATTGAGTTGTCAAGTTCTCATGCCTTTTAGTTAATAGAATCACTATTGCCATTTCTGGAAATCTGGCTCTGAATCTTTCATAGGTCCTAGACTGTTTAACATTTGGGCAAAACATAATCATTTTGCTTTTGTATTCCACTTCTCTCAGCCCCAGAATCAAAATACAGTGTTAGAGGGGCCAGTAGTTGCTGTGGTGGTTCAGGGGGCTGAACTGCCACATAGTTGACTGTGGTTCGAATTCCAGATCTGGCAGCTTGCTCTCTCACTTTCCCTCTCTCTCTGTCTCTCTCTCACTCTGCCCGTCTCTGGTCAAATTAAAAATAAATAAATAAAGTTACATGAAATAATTATTATTTTTTAAAAGATACAGTGTTGGAGAAGAATTTATTACTACTTATTAAGTATTCAGTAATGCTACTGGTCTGTTATTTATTAGCATTTAAGGCACTGCACTTGAAATATCTTTAAACCCAGTAATCATTAAAGCATAGCGAACTATCAGGGGACTTCTTATTGATGGTGGTATTGAAGAGTAATATTCCCTGTAAGAGCTGAAAGGCCTTTGCTGACATTAGCCATGTATGTACGCGTAGGACAAATCCTGGTGTGTAAAAGAACTCGCCCCCTGCAAACCTCAGGTAGGCTTACTTACTTAGTCGTTATTCACGGGCGGATGTGTGGCCTATCCAAGTTTTAATGATTTTCATATGGCAAGATGATGGGGACCAGATAAGCAGTCAGATGAGACCACATAGTTTTATTCTGCCTACTTACATTTTAAGTGTTAATACACACACACACACACACACACACACACACACACAGATCATAGAAAATGAAAAGGAAGAAGGCAGGTCATTTCAATACTTTTTATTTGAGTGTGAAACCATTCATATCTTGCACAACTGTACAGATAAAACTATTTCCATTTTAGCTGTAGACATGATTATCACACTGAGTGGTGTGATCAAAGATTTTATTTACAGAACAGTTGCTAAAACATCCGATGTCATATTTCCATTTATTTCTTACCCATAGGGTAATAGGTCCACCATAATTGCCTGGTGCATTTTATGATACAGAAAGAAAACCTATGTTAATCTCTAACAAACCTCACAAATTGCTACAAATCTGACAGGAAAAAAAAAAAAAGCCTACGAAAAACATTTTCCAAAAGTACAATACATTTTTATTTCCACACATACACAGTATAGTATAGGCTCAAAGGCACAGCTCTGAATTCTCTTCTCTATCAAAGTGTCGGGAATTATTATGGTCTTACGAAGGGACCGTGGAAGTCCTTGTCACACTTGGTGCTTGGTGAGTCAACGTCTGGTCCAATCCAGTTTCACAAAGTGAACACAGCAGGCCTGAGTGAGGTACTACTCTACGCCACGCATCCACATTCTCATAGAACTTAAAAGAAAAACAAACCCTCTCCTGCCTTTTGATGCTAGCCATTGTGCAAACTTAGGACAAATCCTTGTGTGTAGAAGAACCCGTCCCCTACAAACCTCAATCAACTTAAGGCAATACAGAACAGGCCTCTTCCTTCCCTCAAGACAGTGCTTACATTCCAAGACAATGCAGGTACTGTGGCGGATGTGAGTGTAACAGGGAATCTCGACTTGCCAGACACCTCCCCTTAGACCTGGTGCTCCAGGAAGCGGTGATGACACCACCAGGAAGAAGGGATGGGTGGGACGTGTCTGAGGGCTGTCCATTGTACGGTCAGATGACAGACAGGTGGCAAGGGGAATGCTCTCGGTAAATTATGAGCCCATCCAAGAACACAAACCAGATTTCATGTCTGGTATCCATCCTTCGAAACTAAAGAGCTTTTGTCAACAGGAAAATAAGTAGCTTACGGGGAGTGGTTGCCAGTGCAAAGCAAAGCCATGGAACAGAGGGGAAAGTCACGACTGGCCTGCCCGAGATAGTGCTCTGTAAAGAAACAGTCAAGTCTGGCTTGGCTACAGGAACCCAATCCCACTGACTTTTAGTAAGTCCTGTTTCTGAACTAAAGTTTATTCATCCCACATTGAATCCCATCCTCACATTCATTAGAAAAATGGACACCTAGCAATAGCCCATGAGTTACAACATAGAGAGATAAAAACTCTTCTGGGGGGGATTGGAGTTGGGCTTATTATTATTATTATTAATTATTATTATTATTAATATTAAATATGGATTCCTATGATAGCAGTCACTTAGCCCATCCTGTGGAGGCCTCTCCGTTGATGTAAGCAAAGCCGGGAAAGTGTTGCATGTGCTCGTACTCAGAATTCCTGCGCGTGGTCAGGGGTGTGTACATGTCACTAGAGTTTCCATACCTCGTGGAATGCACAGACGGGCTCGCGTAGCACGTGTTGGCTGTGGGCACCTCTGGCCATCGGGGAGTGACTGGCGTAGGGTGCAGTCTGGGAGTACTGCTCATCAAACAAGGTTCCATCCGGGAAGTGGGGCTATTAAAAGGGTACTTGGTGGAGGGAAAGAAATTCCACAAAGTTAAAATTAGCTTGAAGTTGCAGGTATACATTTTCAGTCACGTTCACAGTTTTAAGTTCAGTTTCTTAAGATGTTATCAATGGGAGTTATCGATGAGCTTCTACAAGACTGAACCATGGCAGAGAGAAGAAATCGACAGGTAGAATACAGAGGATTTCAGAGAGAGGCTAGAGTCTACTCATGCAGTAACACTGGCTCTGTGCGCCTACCCTGGACTATCTGGTGAAGTCACTCCCAAAAGGGGAAAGAGCCCCACTGGAAATATAGACATGGGCGCGCATGTGCATGCAGTAGTAAGAGATGTCCAGATAAATACTGATGTATGGATGGATAGTTGTGAGTTTTATCATTAGTTATGGAGGTGAGACAGGCCCTACTCCATCAACCCAAGTGGAAAATTCTCCCAAGTAAAATACAATGACATTATTAAAAATAGCATTTTACAGTTGAATTCAATTATGAACTGCAGCCTAAAAGCAGGCTTTTGAAGAGAAAGCAAGTCAACAGCCTCAAAGGTTATTATTAATGCCTATCATTTCTTTTTGTTTTGCATTCACTGACGTCCTGGAAGATGCATGAGTAGGAAATGGTGAATTATTGGGCTTCGTGTGAATGTGCAGGAAAGAGTCAAGATCCAACTGAGAGGGCCGGAGAGGGCTGCTTTTGTGCAGGTCAGAACAACAGGTGTTAGTGGCTCCAAGAACAGGGGAAGCAGTTCTAGAAAGATTTAGGAGTAAAAGAAGTGCCTGTGAAGTGCTTCTTCCTTTACATTCTTTTCTGTTACCAAGACAGCTATGCAAATAAGCCCCTTTTAGAATGATCCAAGGGGAGGAAGGGGAGGAGCTATGGGCTCCCTTTGAAAGCTCCCAGTTTGCAGGCCAGTTAGCACAAAGATTTCCTGGCTGTGCTGAGGACTACCCCAACAGGGACAGGAGCCAATCAACGAGGATGGCAAGAACAGCGAAGAGGAGTGTGTGTGTGTGTGTGTGTGTGTGTGTGTGTGAATGTACAAATTCTTCTGCTCCCCATCTGTCTTCCCTGACAGTTGGAGAGTGGAGCCCCAAGGGATTAGGTGGGAGGCTGCCTCCTGTGAGAGAGACAGACAGGCTGAAGCCTAGACAGCAGAGAGAAGGAGTTATGACAACAATGGCTGCTCCTTGGAGTCGAGGTGGCCAAAGGGAACTAACTGCTCAGGCTTCTTGGAGCGGGGGCCCAAGGGGAGCAGGCAAAGGCTCTTAGTCTTGAAGCATGCAAAGAGAACCAGCAATTCAGAAGTAAAGAAAAAGGGATCCAAATTCTAGCAGTGAGGGTTTTTTCCCCTCCACATAGGACAGCATGCCTTACATAGCAAAATACAGCCACTTCCCAGTCAAAAGAACAGTTAGGAAAGAGGGAGAAGGGCGTAGGTGGTGTCTGGGAACTCCGGGGAGAAGGCACCGAGGGCTGTTGCCAAGGAGACCATGGACAGTATGCCAAGGCTTTCTTAATTCCAAATCAGATCAGAATCACTGCCGTGTCCCCATGTGCTGTGCATTACAGAAGCCTAAAGATGCTGTTTGTGTGGCAGTGAGGACAGGCCTTCAGGTCTGAGCAGTAGAATTCCAAATGTTAGGACCTACTGTAAGTCCCAAAGAAACCGTAGTAAAATTGCATCCTGCCGAAGAAAACAAGATCCCATGAATGTGTATTAAACAGTATTACAAAGTATTGGGGGACCAGCAGATAGTGTAATAGTTACATTGCTGGATTTCCATGCAGTTGACCGTGGTTTGAGTCCCAGACCCAGTGGCTTAAAAAACTTATGCCAGGCATGTGTGCGTTCGTGCCCAAGATCCCAAGAGGAGGATAGAGAAGAGATTGTGGCATGGCCATCCCCCCCGGGAGGGGTGATTTCTTGCTTTCTGTCTCTTTGCCTCTCTCTGTCTCTCTGGTGAGCACATGGACCCTATAGCAAAAATCTCTCTCAAAAAGAAAGAAAGAAAGAAAGAAAGAAAGAAAGAAAGAAAGAAAGAAAGAAAGAAAGAAAGATTATTACAAAAGGGTCCCTAATTTTTGGGTGTCAGCAGGTGGCGTGTTGGTTATAGCACTGGACTCCCATGTGGTAAACCATGGTATGAGCCCCAGACCTGGCAGCTTGAAAATCACCCTGGGCACATGGATGCATGCCCAAAATCCCAAGAGGAGAACAGAGGAGTAGATATTGCAGCATGGCCATTCTCCCTGAGGGATGATTTCTTTCCCTCCCTCCCTCTGGCAAGCAGATGCAAACAAACAAAACAAAAACAAAGTCTCTAATTTTTAACAAGGTCCAATCTCCTTCCTTATAATCTCTATGTTCTCTCCAGTGAGCTCCCTGGGCACATGTCACCTCAGTTCAAGGGGCTCTCCCTGGCACAGAGGCATCCCCAGCTGGTCCCTCTCTCAGGGAACTGTGTCTTCCCTGTCCCCTCTGACTAGAACCCTTCTTTATACTCCTAACCTGGGCTCCTGACACACCTGCCCTTTTATCGTTCTTCAGCTCTGAGTTCAAGGAGACTTCTGGACATCCCATCTCAAGAAGCTAAACACTCCACCTTCCATCTCTCAGGACCTCATTGTCCTGCCCCCTGGCAGCTGTCTCCTCCCACTGGCCTGTAGCCATACGTGCCTGGTGGAGCTCTGCCGTGTTCACCACCATATTCCCCACGTCTGGTCAGGTAGCTGGCACCTAGCAGGTGCTGTATCTGGTGAATGGACACTGGGATATGAGCACTAGAAAGAGCGTAGGTGAGGGCTGCCGACATCCGAGCCTGCGCTGTACAGATGAGAGCAGTGTGCGGTGTCCTGCCCAAAGTCGCGCAGTAAGCTGTGGGAGAGCAGGCCTGAGGACCCGGCCCTGGGTAGCGCCTTTCCCCGTTATCCCGCTGACTGACCCACACTACGCTGACGCGTCATTACTGAATTAATGGGGAAGGCCAGCACTCTGCTTTGGAAGCCAGCTCTTTCACCTTTCTCTGTGACACGGTTCCTTCATTAAGCTCTTTCCTCCTCAAAGGGCACAGGGGTTTAGGATTGTGACCTGGCCTCAGCTTACTGGTTCTTACAGAGCCCTCACTTGCTGTGGCTTGTGTAGGTAAAATGTCACAGTATGGCCTTGGAGTTCCTTCCCACAGAAGCCAAGAGAGTGTGGCTTTTGTGCCCAGTCAAGGACCCTCGACACAGCTGTGCCCAGAAGTTGTGTCATAGATTCAAAAGAGTAATTGCCTGGAAATGAGACCAGCTCAAAATATCTCCAATGTGACAATAAAATTCTGTTACCACGGACTCTGGCATGGAAAATTCTGTCCTGTTAGGTCAGCTAATTGCAAATGAGTCAGTGACTCGTTTTCCCTGTGGTGAAGAGGCCATTGAAAGACGAGATGGCTCAAGTGCCCGCTGCCTTGGCTGGCGCTTGACGTGACCAATGAAGCTTCTATTTTGTCTGGTGGGAGTGGCAGAGGCTGGCCTATGGCACCCACCTCACCTTTCACACTCACATCCGGTTTCACGCAGGGGCCTTAAGCATGCTGGGCACAAACTCTGCGGTCTAGAGATCTCTGCCTGGAATAAAGGCTCTTTTTGTTGAGGGCCCATAACAGGAAGTTACCATTCTCTGGGTCAAATTACACACTGTCACTACTGATTTTAAAATGGATCCAAGTCACCCCATGACAGGGATGTGTGAGAGGAGCTCGTGGGCGTGTGTGTGTGTGTGTGTGCGTGTGTGTGTGTGTGTGTGTGTGTGTGTGTGTGCCTGTAGTCAAAGGACCCATCAAGTGGTTGTGGCTTAAGCCCATCTGGGATTGACTTTTGGCCTCTTTGGAACCATTTTAGAAAGTTCTATTTTTAGAAATGACTCCCCACACCAAGGTTGACTTTCCTACACATGGAAAGGGAAGAATGGGCCCTTTATCCCTGACCGTTACTGAACGGGCTACTACTGGAGCACGGGGTGAAAGGTGGCCCAGTCAGGAGCACAAACTGTTTTCCTATGAAAGGCGGCTCTCACTGCACCAACGTACAGCCCATGGGCCCGCCCCAAACAGGCTTCCTCTTAACTTCTGCTGGCTAGGGATGTAGCCCCCCCTCCCCCCGAAATTTTTGTCAAGAGAGTCCACTCAGCTGAGCTTTTAGGGTTGGGATTAATTGAGTGATAAGTTCTGAAAATGTGTTAACTATTTATTAATGTCCTTTTTAGAATCACAGGGTCATGCTCCATTAATGATAGGAAGAGCCTAGTGACAGACCATCTGGCCCCACCTCTGGTTTTGTAGATGATAGGATTGGGGTCAAGAGAAGGGAAATGGCCTCACCGAGGTCACACGACTTAGTACCAGAGTAAGGATCCATTCATTCATGCATTCGTTTCATTGACAAGTATTTACCGAGCACTCGCTAAGGGTCAAACTCTGTGCTGGGCCCTGGGAGTACAATGATGAGAGAAAAAGGACCTGGTTCTTGCCTTCACAGAGTTAGTCTAGTGAGGGAGACAGTTAATTATGTATTGGGTCGTCGGAAAGGTCATGACACATTTTTGCACAGAAAAACAGAAAAATATATCGTGACTTTTCCAACGACCTACTAATTACACTAAATATAACCATATTATAGGGGAATGGGTAATGATACTTACAAATGTACTCACTATGAGCAAGGTCCTGCTCTTTTTAAATTATTTATTTATTATTATTACTCTTTTATTTGCTATAGGGCACATGTGTTCACCAGAGAGAGACAGAGAGAGAGAGAGAAAGAGAAAGTGAGAAAGTAAGAATAAGCTACCAGGTCCAGGATTCAAACTGTAATCAGCCATGTGAGAGTCCAGCGCCTTAATCACCACACCACCTGCTGGGCCCTAGACCCATTTCTAATTCTTATTACCTCACTTGACCCTCACAACAACCCTGTGAAATAGGTACTATAATTATCCCCACATCTCAGATGAATAAATTG